ACAAGCCAACCAACGTAGACATATCATTTACCCGTGAAACCATAGACTGTAGGTCACCAAAGATTGACGATAGCAAGGTGAAATCATTGGTGTACTCAAGGTCAGTACGCCGGCGTTGGGTTGCAAGCTTGAGATTGTCCTCTTCATGTAGGGCCTTCCCGAGAATCCAGTTGATGGCGTAATTGGACAGAATGAATAACAGGACGCAAACTTTTCGAACAATTGAATTCATACAGAAGAGGTCAAAAACAGGTCAGGGAAGGCCAATTACTCAATTGGGCTAATCAGTCTAAGTATAAACGTAAATGAAACATTGTGGACGGTGAGGTAGGGGGAAAAACGTTAAAGCAAAAAATGCGGGCAGGGGAGGTGTGATTCAGGGAGCTGGATGTTACCACCGCCCTTTCTGTATGAATTCAATTGTTGTATTCTGGCATTCGTTAATCACTTCATGCAGCGAGAGGACGCAGCTGATGAGCGCTCGCGAAATTAGTGGTTCCATTAAATCATGCTGTATATGCAATCTTTCAATTTGCACCTGGGAAAAGATGCTTCAAATTTCTGTAACTTTACGTGGTTTCGTAAAATTCCACCAATATGAAGATGCATTTCTATTTTTGTTAAACTACGCCTACATAAGGTAGAATTTTCCTCGATTAAAATTCGTATCCTGCGCAACAGAATTTGTGTTAATCGAATTTTATTCTACTTTAACTTATTAAAACAAACGTAATCTTACTTAATTTGATATTATTGTATCTCCTCCGCCAGAATTACATATTAATTTACGCTCAATAGCAAAGAATTAAGTGTTTGACCACAAAATAGGTTAAGCAGTTAGATATCTACGGGGGCCCTACAAACAAATTTTGCCGAAAATACTTTCCCTGGGACCCTCCTGCATTGTCTCTATTGGCAATAATGGAAACAGCAATCGGAAATGTCCTATCAAAGACAGTTTACTTGTCCGGAGCCATACTATGGATGAGGCAAAATTATCGGCCCAAAGACCTCCGCAGTTGATTTATTTCAACTCGAACCAAAGGGCAACTCATTTTGACTCGAACAGACAGGTACTTGCATAGGTGAAAAAAACAGCAGCGAGTAATTCGACATGGGACAGGAGAACACAAATGCAGATCACGCTGGATATCACAAAAAAAGTAGAGTTTAGGGATTAGATTGTGTGTATTGTAATCCAGTGGTAGAGATCATAAGCTAGACTGCTTCGTTTGCGGTTAGTACTTGACAGAGTGCGACTCATACAGATGGGGCGCCCCATGAAGATGCATTACTAAGCTGATGTAGCCTCACAGGGGAACAAAACAGACGCAGGCAAATGCATCGCACAGCTTACGTTCTAGGCAACACCTCTCCACGTTATTCATGAGGTAGTGTAGAACGTTCAATGGGAGAGCTTTATAAGAGGTGTGACCTTTCTGGTGGTTGTGAATGTTAAGGTAAAATAAATTAAAATCCCGTGTACTTTCATGAGTAGGAACGAGCGCCAGTTCGATTCTTCTCGCATACAGCTGATAAAGATTAACACAACAATGGAGTTTATCAATTCAGTGAACAATGGCAGGAGAAGAGCAATGAGCGAAAAGGAGCGTACTTTTGTGAATACTGTCAACATGCGACTTTTTAATTGACATCCGCGAGAAGTCTCGGCCACAAATCTCGCACGCGAAGGGACGCAGTCCTGAAATAAAAGTAAAATGAGACCTGAGCCGGTCACAGTCGGCAAGCATGAACTAGAATGCAGGCCAAAGTGTTATGACAGACTGGGGCCCACTACGCAATAGGAAAAGATGGCTACGCTGCAGATGTCTGTGAGAAAGTTTACCCCTTCATATCAGATGTCAGAGCGCAGGTGCGTTGTTCTGCGTGATGTGAGAGGATGAAAACTGATGGATGTCCTAACGGCTGAAAAGACGGGATTTCTGTATTAAATGCACACAGTTAGGAGGCAACGCGTGTAAAGCTTGGCGATGGATAAAACAGTGAGTGAAATATTATGCAAGTCATTCAAACCATAAAACAATTCACTCGCAGGCTACAATTACGCCATTGGGACAGTAATGATCCCATGGATGGTTTTGCCCGAATTATCGTGGAGCTGCTCTTTGGTATGCAATGACCCGAATTTGCCGCCAATCACAATCGATTATGCTCTGTTTGAGACTGTCGTCAAAAGCGGGGATATATTAGGAGTGGAATATCTTTTGAAACGTGATCTTGTTGACTCAGACAAGACTCAGACGCGCAGACAAATATCCTACGAGCGAAAGTGGTACCGGCGAATAAAACAGCGATACAAAAGAAACGAAAAGTGGCGGTCGAAACGATATTCAAAGGAAATGCATCGCCAAATTACAAGAAAAAGCCTTAAGAAGAAGGAACGCACTTTTGTGGATAGACCTGACGTGCGCATTCCTGTTGGCAGTCTTTGAAAATAATTTTCCACAAATCTCACATTCACGAGATTGCGGCTCTAAAACAAGAAAATAAAGAAGATCAAATAACGAAAGCAGATGAGTTCTGTCTCTGGGATTACCTAGCATTCTCACTTATGATCATGTGTGTACGCCTTTAACAGCTCTACCTATCTAGATATGAAATAATGCGTGAAGCATAATTCTG